AGTCTCAGTGATATGTGATTGTAGAATAAATATGATATGCTCTGATTTTACCCTCTGGGCTGCTAGGCTATTAATCTAGTAATAGGATGTCTACTTTCATAAGAATATTCATGCATATACCATACTTCAGTTAATATGTCACACAAAGATATCTTTAAGCAGAACAAAAACAAGCGTGAGGCCCAGAGTTCAAGTCCCAATACCAGCACAACAAAACAAAACAACTAGATAGAGTATAAATTTGAGGAATTATAGCTATGCGTTGTATCTCACTCTTCTTCTCCTTTCAACATTCTCATTACCCATCCCTTAAATCAACTGTAAGTGTAGAGATTGTGTAACTATACGTACTCACCTACTTATTAGTGGTTTCTGAAAAGTATTAGTTTTCTTACCATTTTAAGTATAGCTGATACACGGTCATGACTTATTAATTACAAATAACTACTGTGGCCTTGGCCTTGCTTACTCTTTCTCAAATAAAATGACTGTAAGAAAGGTAATACCAAGAAGTAAGTCTATTTAAAATTTTGGGATTTTCAACTGAGATGTGATGGAATCCTGGCAGCAGAAATTTCAGAAAAATCCCAGTGCTAAGAAATGGATGAGAATGAAAAGCTTGTCACAAGGGGCTGACTCATGGGAGCAGGCCTGCTAGAACCTGTGTGTGGTTCTCCAGGCTTGGCAGGATGACAGGCAGCTTGCAGAATGCATCCGTGCAGTTTGGGCTCATTTGCAACCTTTCAGTGACATGCCTGCCTAGCTAGTTATGCAAAATGTGGTTAAACCTACGTGGTAGTTCAAAGACCTGCTTTACCCAAGCAGTTTTGATTTCTTTTGAACAGTGCCATAGCAGTTGTACAGTACCACAGGCTCTGAAATACTTGCCTCACCTTGGAATTTGGAAATTAACTTAGGTATTTGGCCAGTTAGAGAATGTAAGGTTTAAAGTATTTTCTTAAAAGACTAAAGTAGCATACTCATTTTATTTCTATAACACAGTTGTTCTATTTCAATAGTGGCCTTTCTCAGGGTGGGTTTTGGAACTTAGATTTTTATCATGTCCTTTAGATTTTCTAACCATGGTCCACGGTGTCATATATTAGCCAGGGCAAGGGGATTTGGTATGAGATGCAGCTCCAGCAGGTGCCAGATTTGTGATCCTGGCATGTCTTTTGGCTGGTTTTGAGAGTAGGAGTGCCTGCTGTGGGCAATAGTCTGCTGGATGGTTATATATTTAGCAAAGTGGCTGCTGTTGACTCAGCCAGCTCTACAGGACCTGCTAAGTTCTCATTAGAGAATATGAAGGTGAAAGCCCCTTGGCCCCTTAAGGAATTCATGGTTGCTAGGCAGGGTACCCTGCCCTGGCTCCTGTCCTTTTACCTAAGTTTGGTGGGTGAGAACATTACTGAGTGTAAACTGATGCCGAGGTGCTGGCCTGCATACTCACCCTTCATACTCAAAGACCAGAAAAGAACCCGGCCTTCACTGGTCATATGTGCCCAGCCTCAGAAGGAATCACAGCAGTAGATGCAATGGGTGTTTCTTATTATAAGCTTGGTTTCTTCTGGGTCCCCTCCTGCTGCCCGCCTCCTAGTACCTTCTGTTACATTGAATCCCCTCCAGTGATGTTGAACCCACCTCTGGAATGTTTTGTGGTGAACATTGGTTGGGTCCGCAGACACTGACAGTTATACCTATGTGTGCTGAGATTTGAGATAAACTTCATTCTCTATCAAGTAAATTGTTCTCACAAATTATTTGGGTGAAATACTTAGCATAAGTGTCCTGCACAGCTTGCATGGCTTATCATTTCTTTTGGCATTCTTTGTACATAAACCTTTTGCAAGCTTCCCTGACAGAGCACTGTCCCTACCTTTTGGGTCTAGAAGAACTGTTGTACTTGGAGGCTTATTTTATTATTGTGTACATAATTTTCTGAAGGAAAAAAAAGTGTTTTTTTTTATGGTACCTTTTATTCCCAAAGAGCAAGAGAAATTGAAACTCAGAACTCTGTTTCAGATTCACTTCAGGAGAGTATCTTCATGGAAGTTAGGGTTATTCAGTAGCTAGGAGAAAGCATGAAAGGACTTTTAATCCTCTGGGTAGTAGGTGTGGTGAGATTACATAATCATTTGTTACAGAACAAATACAGTGACTAAGACTCAAGGGGTCCATTTATGCAGTTTTGTTGTCTGTGGCTGATAGTAGATTCACCTCACTTTTTATCTTACGGGTATGTTCCTCAGCCAAGCTACCATGGAAAGGAGGAAATGTGTGAATTGACATGTTCTTTCATTCCTTATTGATGGCTAAGTACCAAGTCTGTGACTCAAGGGTATAGTTTCTAAAATATAACTTAGCTTCTATTTGATAAATATTGAGCAAAGTCTACATTACAAGTAGCTAAAAGTTTTGGTCTGTTTTAGAATCTCAATCACAGGATTTTTTAAAGTATGTTTATTAGTGAGATAGTTATTTGGCAGGGTTACTGCTATTCATGATCATCATGTAGATGATCATTTATAGAAAAGCCAAGTTTCATCACTTTTATTACAAAATATAGTGATCGTGTGTGTGTGTATGTGTGTGTGTGTGTGTGTGCGTGCGCGCATGTGTGCGCACATGTGCGCATGCCATGGGTCTTGAACTCAGGGCCTGGGCTGTTCCTGAACTCTTTTACTGAGAGCTAGAGCTCTACCATTTAGAGCCACAGTGCCACTTCCAGTTTTCTAGTGGTTAATTGGAGTTCAGCATCTCAGACTCTTCTGCCCAGCTGGCTTTGAACTGTGATCTTCAGATCTTAGCCTCCTGAGTAGCTAAGAGTACAGGTATGAGCTACCAATGCCCAGCTTAAATATAATGATTTTTAACAAGGCTCCCCCAAATAACTGCCTACTTACTTTAGTAGTAGGTAATGGGTTTGCATAAGAACTGTTGGTCGTCAGATTATTAAAGAGGCATTTTTAAATATACTAAATGATTTTTAAATTGTAATATAATTTCCTTTGGGGGAATATCAGTAATATTCAAATAGGTACTCCTTCCACCCCCATACCTCTTTCAGTTTTACTTGTAGCATTTCCTCAAAAGGTCCTCTAAAATTTAGGGGAAGTGAGAGGGAGCAACTAGTGATTCATCTATTGATATTCCAAGGAGAGAAATGTTCAAATGTGAGAAAAAGTCAGATTTGAAGAAGGTTTAATTTCAATAATAAAGTGTTATAAGTTAGCATGCCTAGAGGTGTGTGTGTGTGTGTGTGTGTGTGTGTGTGTGTGTGTGTGTGTGTGTGTGTGTGTGTGTGTGTGTGTGTGTGTGTGTGTGTGTGATGCTGGTACTGAGACTTGAACTCAGGGCCTGTTCATTGTCCCTTAGTTTTTTCTTCTCAAGGCTTGTACTGTACCACTTGAGCCACACCTCCACTTCCTTTTTTTTTTTGTAGTTAATTGGTTTTAAGAGTCTCATGGACTTTGCCCGTTGGCTGGACTCAGATTTCAGCCTCCTACGTAGCAATTTGGATTATGGCATGAGCCACTGGCCCTGGTAGAAATGTCTTAATGTGAGTTTGAGAAAATAAGTGACTTATTTTTAACAAGGAGGAGAACAATAAGGTTTCTATTGCCATCCCTTCCAAGTGACTAGTGTTGAAGTAGATATTCCAAAGAAGATAAAAGAAGGTTTTTTTTTTGCATCTTCAATATTCATAAATTGAACTCTGGGCTTGGGCACTGTCCCTGCACTCTTCAGCTCAAGGCAAGCTCTCTACTGTTTGAGCCACAGCGACACTTCTGGTTTTCTAATAGTTTATTGGAGATAAGAGTTTCAAGGACTTTCCTGCTTGGGTTGGGCTGGCTTTGAACTACGATCCTCAAATCTCAGTCTCCTGAGTAGCTAGGCTTACAGGCATGAGCTACCAGGGCCCGGCTTGCCTTGATAATTTCTTATATCTCATTTTGCATTTAATTCTTTTATAGCACTTTTTCTATCCAAATGATCACAACATTCACTCAATATTTTATCATTCTCCCTCTGTTAGACACTATGAAACAAAATAATTTGAGTTTGAATGTATTGTAGATGTTACTCCTCTCAGTTTCCCCCTTCCACCTTCCCTCCCTTTCCTTTTTTATCTCCCTCTTTCCCCTTGGTTCTAGCTCCTTGTTCTCTCTCAGGTTATTTGCTTTGTTGACTTGGACCCTGTCCTCACTGATAAGGGGTGGAGAGCTGAGCTGCAGAGCCGGAAGGAACACTTGCTCTAGTCATTTCTCTTCATCATGGAGACCTGTGGAAGACAGGGCTTCAAGATGGGAAAGGGCTTGGATTGAAGCAGTTTTTGTCTTGAAATTATGAAATTTGTGAAGAAAACTAGTTCTTATTCTGTTGCTCCCTTGCATCATTAGGCATAATTTCTGTTTATATGCTTAAAAAGTAATTAGGCTGGGTCCCTGTGGTAATCCTAGCCATTGGGGGGTTGGAGAGGGGAACACTGAAATCTGAGGACCATTGTTCCAAGCCATCCTGGGTAGGAATAGTCATGAGATTCTTAATCTCCATTTAAAGACCAAAAAGCTGGAAGTGGAGCCGTGGCTCAGGTGGCAGAGTGCCAGCCTTGAGCAAAAAAGTTGAGTGTAGGAGCCCAAACCCGGAATTCAAGCCCCAAAGACCAGCACACACAACAAATACATGAGTAATTAGAAGGCCTGAGGCTGGTGACTCACTGATATAAATCTTAGCCACTCTGGGGGCTAAGATCTGAGGATTCCGGTTTGAAATGGCCTAGGCCACTTCTGGGAGACTCTTATTTCCAGTTTATCAGCCTAATGCCTGAAGTGGAGGTGTGGTTCAGATGGTAGAATGCCAGCCTTGAGCAGAAAAGCTAAGCCAGAAAAGCTAAGCAACAGCAAAAGGCCTTCGTTATAGCCACTCTACTGGCAAGCCCACAGGCACAGGATACACACAGAGTTATCTGAAATTCTCTACTCTGTCCCTGCCCATTTCAGCATGCTGGAAGATGACCTTCAGCTGAGTGACAGTGAGGACAGTGAGAATGAACAGGTAAGTTTTGTGTATCTGGTGATAGCAAGAACCTTTTAAATCTCAGGCACATACCTGAGTTGCATATTCTAACCTAAATATTTTTGTTCTTCTTTCTGGGTCTTCTCCCCTTTTTGTGAATTCATAGACCACAGAGAAGCTACCTTCCTCAGCTGCACCTCCAAGGTACTGTCTGTGGGTTTCTCCTTCTCTGAGTAGAAAATTAATATAGTTTTACTCAGTAAGAAGATAAGGCCTTGCTTTAAAATTTTTAGTTTCCAGCTGGGAATGTGGCTTAATGGTAGAGTGCTTGCCTTGCATGCATGAAGCTCAGTACCACATAAACAGAAAAAGCCAGAAGTGGCACTGTGGGTCAAGTGGTAGAGTGCTAGCCTGTAGCAAGAGATGCTCAGGGACAGTGCCCAGGCCCTGAGTTCAAGCCCCAGGACTGGCAAAAATAAATAAATAAATAAATATATGTATATATATATAAAATTTATGTATATATAATATACATATAGCTTCTTTAGGGATATGAAAATGGAGGATCACAGTTAAAAGAAAGTGCTAGCTTAATATTTTGGAAGCTAAAAAGATAGTTGTTATTAACACTATTAAAGTAGAAGAGTCTCCATACCCAGCCACAACTAGTTGTTAAAATTCTTGGGCTGGGTGTGGTAGCACATGCCTATAATCCCAGCACTAGGGAGGCTGACCCAGAAGGATCACGGGTTTTTAAAGCCAGCCTGAACTACACAGACAGACCCTGTCTAAAAAAATTGTTTTAGGGGCTGGGAAGGTGACACAGTGGTATAGTGCTTGCCTCGCATGCATGAGGCCCTCGGTTCAATTCCTTAGCACCACATAAACAGAAATGGCCAGAAGTGACGCTGTGGCTCAAGTGGTAGAGCGTTAACCTTGAGCTGAAGAGCTGAGGGACAGCACTCAAGCCCAGAGTTCAAGCCCCAGACCGACAACAAAAAAATTGTTTTAGAATTTAAAAATACATTTAAGATGGTTTATCATCAGTCTTGTATAACCAGCATTATTTATGTTCTTAGTTATACCTATTTTCATATTATTACAACTGTGTTAAAAAATGGTCTGTGGTATATTTAAATTTAGTGAGAAATAACACTTTTTCCAGTGTGAGCCAGCCATATTTTAGAAAATATGATAGTTTAATTTTTTTTTTTAATGAGACCTATTTGAACTATTTTTTCAGTATTTTCTCCTGTTACTAAATGCAGGGATTTAAGGTGACAAGTTCCTGCCCTTCATGAATTCAATTACTTTACTCCCTTGATAGGAATTCAAGCATTCAGAGACAAGATCAACAATAAAAGCATGCCTAATATGGTTGGGATTGTAGTTAATGGTGGAAGAGGCCCATGTAATTACACAGACTTGTGGGTTCATAAAGTTGCTTGTTTATTTATATCCAGTTTTGTTAGCATTTCTAGTGAGTCATATTTACTCACAACAGGAAAAATTAGTCTAATGTAAAAGTGGAGGAAAAGCAAAAGAAAACCCCCAGGGTGGCAGTTTCCTTGAAATGTGTTTCCCTCTGCAGCCACTGGGTTCAGTTGCCACAGGTGGGCAGTGTGGACAGACAGTACAAACAGGAAATGTGGACAAGGAGCCAGAGCTGACACAGCATTCTGTATGGGTAGACTGGGATTGGTACAATATGTTTGTTTTAAAGTCACCTCAATTAGTGCTTTTACTTGTTTACTATTTTTTATTCTGAGTTCTCAATAAGCATTTGTTTTGAGCTGGGCACCAGTGGCTCACGCCTATAATTATAGCTATTCTGGAGGCTGAGATCTGAGGATCACAGTTCAAACTCAGCCTGGGCAGGAAAGTCTGTGAGACTCTTATCTCCAGTAGCCACTCAAACACTGGAAGTGGTGCTGTGGCTCAAAGTGGTAGAGTGCTAGAGCAAAGAGCTCAGGGACAGTGCCTAGGCTCTGAGTTCAAGCCCCACGACAGGCCCCCCTCTTTGCCCCCCCAAAAAAGAATTTGTTTTGAAACTATTATTTTCAAATAGATTTGGAAGCTTTCAAGATTATAGTTAATGATATGCTGCTGTAACTAAGAGCATCTCAGGCAAGCTTTTAGGATTGCATGTGACTGCAATTCCATGTGTTTAGTAGTGGTCTGTATGTTTTCTCATTTGCCTAGAGTTATTGGTCCATTTTTGGAACAGTTTATCTCCAACCATTCATAAAGTATGGCTTATTTATAATTCCACCAAGAAGTGTACATGAGTTCATCTTCCTCCTCAGTGGTATCTCCCTAGCACACAGTTCTAAGGCAGAGAAAACAGGGAGATTTGCACTTGGAAGGTTTTTTTTTTTATACCTTGATTTCTTTTGGCTATGTATGAGGAGTCAGATAACTTAAAGCACCAGTAGTCCATATTTTAGCCTTTCTAGGCCATGTCCATCTCTTGGTCTGACACACATGTAGGCCTAGACAGCTGTGTTGGCCTTGGTTACTGACCTTGGATGTCAGGCCCCCAGCCTCTAGTTACATTTTGTGTAGCTTGACCTGCTCTTCAGGAGGTAAGTGCAACAAGTCTCTTCTGTTTTCCAGATGTGCTCTTGTAAGGACTTGTCACTTTCTCTTAAACCACTTTTACCCCCCTCTCTGCCAGTAATCAGGTACTAGCGAGGCTTCCTTCCGAAAAAGGCAGGAACGGGCAGGGGTCTTCTAATCTTGTCCCTGATTGCTTCACAGTGCTCCACAGTCGCTCCCCGAGCCAGTGGCATCGGTGCGCTCCAGCAGTGCTGAGTCAGAGAGCACCAGTGACTCGGACAGCTCCTCAGATTCAGAGAGCGAGTCCAGCTCCAGTGACAGCGAGAATGAGCCCCTCGAAACCCCCGCTCCAGAGGTACTGTGTCCCCAAGGTCCATCCAAGATGGCAGGCGGGCATGCTGGTTGTCAGGGGGGAGTGCTCCTGAGGTGCAGGTGGCCCCGACTCTGAAACCCAGCCCTTAGGCGACACTTCCCTGCTCCCAGGTGCTGTGGAGTGCCTGGTTTGTTTGCTAATAGCTTACCAAATATTTGGAGATTTGGAGATACATCTTCTCCCTGGTTAAAACCATAGCTTCTTGTCGATGGCGACTAGTGCAGTTTATTAAGAATGCTTGCACACCATTTTCTTCTCCTTTCTTTTGAAAAAGAGAACTTGTTTTTGGTTTTAATATTAATGAAATTTCTTTGTGAAATTTCAGGAATGCATGAATTAAGGAAAGGCCTGGTTTAGTCAAGGGAAGGAATGTGAACTACAAATAAGTCAATGGGGAGTCCTGTTATTGAGTCATTAAAAGCGTTGCATTAAATTGATGACAAGTGATTTTTGCCAAGGTTGATTCTTGGCTCCCTTCTGCCCATGTAAAGGTGAAATAGCCATGCTTCTCAGCAAGAGACATGGTAAAGATGAACAAACCAATGAGACAGAAACCTCAAGCACTAAATGTATGTAGAAAATTTGTGTGATGAACTGGATGGCTGAGCACAGAAGTTGTAACAGTTAACACGCTGGCCACGTGCCCTCAGAACCTGGTAGCAGTATAAAAGTCATGCATGGGAAGGTCACTAGTGAAGTGGGAAGGCACACTTGTTTTGGTTTTGATGAACAAAACCATCACACAGCACATCTAGGGAAAACCCTATGCACAGTTAAGGCGAGACTGTCATTAGTATTTCTGTATTCATTTCAGCAGTTTAGAAAGATGCTGATTCTACTAGAACATTGGCTAGAAACATCTGACATCATGTAGAGAGGTTTCTGGGTTTGTCTGGGGACAAGGGACATTGAGGAAATATATCATTATTTAGAAGCAACTCTGTTTTTTGGGGTCTTTGTTTCTTGTGGGATACTAATTTCTACTGAAATAATTTCTGTGTCTTGGGGAAAAGGAGGGTGAATACACTATGCAGACAACTTGTTTGTGTTATTCAGTGTTAATGGTTCTCAGAACCATCTTCAATAAGAAAACTCATGCTTAATAGACTATTGGTATAAAAATATAATTTAAATGCAAAATGATAGGGTGGATTGGCTGAATAATTGAAACTTGAAAACAACTTTAATCTGGTATTTATAATAATGAAATTTATATCCCCTTATCAAGAAATTATTAGAGCAAAGCCAGATAGGATGTTGTGCTGCAGTAATCTCAGCACTCTAGAGATAGAGGAGGAACTCAAGGCCAGCTTGAGCTATACAACAAGGCTTTTGACCAAAAAGAAACTATAATATATTAAAAAGAAAATTGTACATGTTGCTGGGTGCTGATGGCTCCCACCTATAATCCTAGCTACTCAGGAGGCTGAGATCTGAGGACCACAGTTCAAACCTACCTCAGGCAGGGAAGTCTGTGAAAGTCTTCTCTCCAATTTACCACTAAAAATGCCTGAAGTACAGCTGTGGCTCAAATGGTAGAGTGCCAGCCTTGAGTAAAAATGCTGAGTACAGGCCCTGAATTCAAGCTCCAGTCCCAGCCCAAAAAAAAGAAAGAAAAAAAAGTAGATGTGAAGGAGAATGCTTTTGCCGTTGTTCATTCCCAGTACTAGAGCTTGAAACTCTGGGCCTCTTGGTTTCACTTGGCTTTTTCACTCACAGCTAGCACCAGGCATGAGCCACCAGTCCCCAGCCCTACTTTTTTTTTTTTTAATGCTAGGAAAGTTGCTTTTATGCTTATTTTTACTTATGTCATTGAATGACATGTTTGAGGGACGCTGAGCCCTGGGACACCATGCACATGCCACAGAGCTGCCACTGAACTTGGGACCAGCCATCAGGGGTTCCACTTCAGTGTCGGTTTTCTAATGGGAGACAAAATGTAGATCTTAGCTTTTCAAGATAAGTAGGACACATTGCCACCCAACTACTTACAAGTAAAGTTCAGAAAATGCCTTACTGTTCTAGGATGTTTATGAGTTTGCTCAGCTTTCTCATGTATTCATTATCCAGTGTTTGGAAGTAAACTACTTTTGTGTTAATTGCTTCTTCAACTCTTAGAGCTTTTGATAAACTATTTGATTTAAATTCTTGTCTTTTTTCTTTTTTTTTCTTTTTCTTTTTTTTTTTTTTTTGTTGGTAGTGGGGCCTGAACTCTGGGCCTGGGCGCTGTCCCTCAGCTCTTCAACTGTAGCGCTCTACCACTTGAGCCTCAGCCCCACTTCTGGCTTTTTCTGCTTATGTGGTGCTGAGGAATCAAACCTAGGGCCTCATGCATGCAAGGCAAGCACTCTACCACCGAGCCACCTTCCCAGGCCCTGCCTGTCTTTTTTCTTGTTTGTAAAGAGTAGAAATATGAGAATTCAGATGGTGGCACTTAACTTTAAAATCTGATCTTTTTTCACATCTGCTTCCCCCACCCCCACCCCCACACACACACACTTGTTATTCCTACATTTGTTGGAAGTCCGTTAGAGTATAAATTCTATATTCACTATGATTCTGAGTTTTAACTTTATGTCCTTTTAATTCCCCTTTAATGCCTTTCATTTTCTTTAAAAATTATTTTTAATTGCAAACAACCATGAAATTTTATTCTAAAACCAGGCATATATTGCCTATGACTCAGAAGTTCTTTGTTAGAACCATAATTCATTTAAAATGAACTTTTTCAGATTTACAATTAAGAGAAGTAAAGGGACATGTAGTCGAAACAGTAAAATGCTTTAAAAAAATTACTGATTTACTCTTTTCATCCTTCTGATTTACAGTGTGTGAGTTGTGCCAGCTCTGAGGAGAATGAAAAGAGCAGAGGGAAAAAGAGCCTTAATCCTCTCTGGCACTTACCTGATTAATCCCTTATCCAAATATCAGCCCCCTCTCAGTATCCAAGGGATCTGTTCATTTTCGCAGCTTTGTTTGGTACACAGAAATGATTGCTCTTCCCTTTTTTCTTGTCTTCTTCCCCCAACTCAGTTTTACCCTGAAACTGGGCCATAGGTCTCCCTTTCGACACGTAAGACTGTGTGGAAGAAAATGTGTTATTTCTGTAACCAGGACGTTTCTTTAGGGATTGCTAAATGGATCTCAATACTGCCCTGATTTGAGTGAGGGGAGCAGAGACACATGACAACAGGAATGACTTCTGGGTTCACACAGGAACACTCTTTCAAGATGCTAGTCAGTTTCGAGCTGCAGTTGTAAGCATAGCTAGTGGGTGAAAGGTAGGGCACGAAGGGCTCAGTTCCTGCCCAGATCAGTCTTACTGTATCTTAACTGCCTTCTGGAATTCCTTCACCACTGATGGCACATTCCATTGATTCTCTGTAGGAACTCAGGATTGACAAGTATATGTGCTTGTCTTTTCTCTAACCTTAATAATCACCTTGCCCTGTTAAACTATTGCATGTAGATTTATCAACAGAATGCCTTGATACATAATAGTGATTCTCTTCTCTCTCTCCCTGACCTGAAATTCAAATAACAGCAGAGAAGTAGAGTGGGTATAAGTGTAGGAAGCTGTAAGGAGATATAGTATCCAAAGAACAGGAGAAGGAAAGCAGAAAGAGAAATCAGGTGGTCATTGTTCTAACATATGATCCTACCTTGGCTAAAGTGAGTTCACTTGGCTGTGTAGTATAAAGTCTGAAAATCAGAATATGTCTGTGATACACTAAGAAGTTTGTCACTTATAAATGTTTGTCATGTTTTAGAATCACTAAAGCTAGCTGGGTGCTGGTGGCTCATGCCTGTAATCCTAGTTACTAAGGAGGCTTGAGATCTGAGGATCGCCGTTCTTAGGTTTGGAATGGTGCCTGTCCTAAGGGACAGCCCTGTATAATTATATCATCATCGATTCGATAACATTTTTTTTTCTTTATTTCCTTATTTGTAGCCTGAGCCTCCAACAACAAACAAATGGCAGCTGGACAACTGGCTGACCAAAGTCAGTCAGCCGGCGGTGCCCCCTGAGGGTCTAGGAAGCACAGAGTCCCCACACCGGCATCTGGACAGCAAGGGAAGTAGTGACAGTAGCACGGGCCAGGAGCATTCTGAATCCAAAGACCCTCCTCCCAAGACCTCCACCAAGGCTCCCCGGCTTGCCCCCGAGGGCCCCCATGCTGGGAAGAGGACTTGTCAGAAGTCTCCTGCACAACACGATCCTCCAAGACAAACTGTTGGAACCAAACAACCCAAGAAACCTGTCAAGACCTCGGGGCAGGTTGATTGCAGAGCCAGCTTGCAGCTAGACAGTGAGCCAGGCCTTTCATACAGCACAAAAGAGCAGACTTCCAAAGACAAGCCCAAGGTGAAGACGAAAGGAAGGCCCCGCACCGGGGGGAGCAGGGACACCAAGCTCACTGCACCTGCTGCCAGCGAGAAGAAGAAGCACAAGAACTGTCCCCCAACCCCCTCCAAGGCCCTCTCAGGCCCCGCGCCTCCTAAGGACAGTGCGGGGCCTCGAACCCCGGAGCACTTTGCTCTGGCCCCCCTGACTCAGAGCCAGGGCCTACCCCACAGTGGCAGCAGTGGCAGCAGGACTAGTGGTTGCCGACAGGCAGTGGTGGTCCAGACAGATGGCCGCAAAGACAGACTGCTGTTGCCTTTGAGTGACACCAGATTGCTCTCACCGCTCAGGGACACTCCTGCCCCACAAAGCCTGGTGGTAAAGATAACCCTAAACCTTCTCACTCGGATACCCCAACTACCAGGCAAGGGTAGCCGCCCAAGGAAAGCAGAGGAGAAGCAGCCGTCCACAGGGAAGAAGTGCGAGTCTGAGAAGAGAGGTTCAGAAGACGCCAGCAAGGTGGCCAAAAAGAGAAAAGTAAGTACGTGAAGGAGGCCATCCCCCTTCACATGCGGCTTGCACCCCGAGCATCTCTTAAACTCAATTCAAATTGTCACAAAGGACTGGAAATGCTTTCTCTCATGAGATGTGCCTTGGTCCTCCTCCCAGAGTTCCTCTTTGTCTGCCCTTTGATGTTTCCATCCTAGATCAGGAGTCTCCATCAGTCATTGAAGAACATAGCTGCTTTTAGCATTCTTTCCCCACCCCCCGGGGCCTGGGCCCTGTCCCTCAGCTCTTCAGCTCAAGGCTAGCACTCTACCACTTGAGCTACATCGCTACTTCCGGTTTTCTGGTGGTTTTATTGGAGATAAAAAGTCTCATGGTCTTTCCTGCCTAGACTGGCTTTGAACCGAGATCCTCAGATCTCAGCCTCCTGAGTAGCTAGGATTACAGGCGTGAGCCACCAGCGCCCGGTTCCCTGAGCTTTTTTTTTTTTTTCTCAAGGTTAGCACTCTACTACTTGAGCCACGGTGCCACTTCCAGCTTTTTCTGTTTATGTAGTACTGAGGAATCAAATCCGGGGCTTCATGCATGCTAGGCAAGCACTCTACCTCTAAGCCACGTTCCCAGCCCATCCTTTCCTTTCATTTTCTTTTCTCTTCTCTTCTCTTCTCCCTCTTCCTCTTCCTCTTCCTCTTCCTCTTCCTCTTCCTCTTCTCTTCTCTTCTCTTCTCTTCTCTTCTCTTCTCTTCTCTTCTCTTCTCTTCTCTTCTCTTCTCTTCTCTTCTCTTCTCTTCTCTTCTCTTCTCTTCTCTTCTCTTCTCTTCTCTTCTCTTCTTCTCTCCTCTCTCTGATACTGGGTTTCAATTCAGGGCCTAACTCTCCCATGTAGCTTTTTTCACTCAAGGCTAGTTACTCAGCTTTTTGCTGGATAATTGGAGATAAGGATCTCATGGACTTTTTTTGCTTGGGTTGGCTTTGAACCTTCATCCTCAGATCTCAGCCTCCTGAGTAGCTAGGATAACAGGTGAAAGATGCTAGTGCCTGGCATCATTGTGAGATTATGTTTTCAGATAACACTCTTAAACACCAGTTACTTTGGCCCTAGAACTTAAGATTTTACATAAGTTGAAATGTTGTATTAGTATATGGAATTACTGACAAAAAACTTCTCTCTATAAAAACTTATTCTTCTAGTATGAGCCTCTAAATACCAGTATTATTTCCATATTTTAAAAATAACTCGGGAGTGCCTAACCTGTGTTAGAACTATTAAACATCTGGTTAGGGTATCTTTTGGAATAAGATAACCTGACAGAGTACATTGTAAAGTATTGAAAATTTGTCATTTGATAGGGATTTTGGAAGTTTCATTTGAGGAATGGATGCAAGGGATTCCTGCATTATTTAAGACTCTAATCTGTTCCTTTGACATACAGCTGTTTGGGAGAATATTCTTCTTTCCCTTCTTCTGATTCATTGAGCTGGATTTTTTTTTTTTTAACTTCTTTGAGAAGAGGAAAGACCTATGTTTCCCCCAAGGTCATTCCCAAGCCAGTAGACAAAGTCACAAGAAAGGCCAACTCCTTCCTGCTGAGAAGGAATATAATTCTTAACACTCTTCTTCTAAGTGCATGAAAAACGTCTTACTCAGCTGTGGAAGTTGAGCTAAGAATAACAGAGGAAAAAAGATCATGAAGCCTGCTGTCATGTCTGAGACCTGACTGATTAATCCACTAGGTTAAAAATATAACATGACTTTACCAAACTGCAAAGGGTGATTGCTTTCTCCAGAACCTTGTTGCTTGAGACATGAGGGCGGTTGCCACCACATCTGCCACAGGCAAGTGGAATGGGGCGGGTCAAGTGCTCACTGTGGGGCTGTTTCAACTAGAAAGGGTAAGGCTGCGTGCCAGAAAGCTTTTTTAAAGTTTTAAAGAGAGAGAGAGAGAGAGAGAGAGAGAGAGAGAGAGAGAGAGAGAGAGAGAGAGAGAGAGTGTGTGTGTGTGTGTGTGTGTGTGTGTGTGTGTGGTACAGAATTCTGGAGGAAATTGTAGGACTTAGGTCCCTTAGAAAACCAAGAGTGCACTCATCCGGGGAAAGCCTGTTTCTCCGGAGTGCCATGGTCTTTTGTGGTCTCCAGTGCTAATTTCTACATTCGCTGTGTGGCAAATTATTCTCTTCCAAAATGCTGGCTTACCAGGTAGAAATGTTTGAAGCTGGAAAATCTTTCAGCAAGTTCCCAGATCAGTCGGCCTCTGTGCAGATCAAGAAGTCTTACTTAAAGCTCCAGAAAGGAAAACTTCTAGCTCTCCTCCTTGGCTGTAAGAAATGTACCTCCTTGAAGCCAACCCCAGACTTGGCTGAGCTTCCTGAGGACAGCTCATCATCTCTGTGTTTCAAGCATGGAGAAGCAATGATCCCCTTATCTTCAATTGAGTGCATGACTGGTCTAGCAAGCTGCTTAGAGATCTGGTCTGCTTCTAAACCCTAGCTTCTTTATTGTCTTTTGGGGAAAAATTAGTGCAGATGACAGGGTGCCCTCCTCACACTGGTAACTTTGGAATTGGGTAGGCAAATCCTAAAGCCTAGTGGGACTGGGCCCAGGGGAGCAAAACCACCTTCTTCATACATTGCTACTTCTGTGGAAATTCTGCAGAAATTCCCCAGGTGCGTTGCATGCTGCCAGCTTGGACCCACACAGCCGAGAATTCTTTGCTCCAAGTACATCATCAGTTAGCAGCCCTTACTTAGGAAGATAATAAGTATAAAAAGCTGCTCACTTTTTTCTGAGAATCACTTGTCCTTTGGCTTTATTACTTCCTGTTGGGTTCTTGGTGGGAGATGTTACTGCACGAACTATTCATCTCTGTCCTCCCTGGGCTTGTATCCTGACCCTCAGCTTTCCAGACTCTAGCCCTTGGACTAGTGCAGCAGCTCCAGTGGGCAGCCCAGCCCCTGTGGCCTTCCTTTTCTAAGCTAGGGAGCTCCCCTCAGATTAGGATTTTGGAATTTAAAAAAAGTTAGTTTTAGGGTGAACAGTAGAGAAAGGTAAGATGTACTTAGACCATCGGAGACGGGACACAGTTGAAAATTAGTGTTTTTGTTTAAAGGTCCTTTAGAGCCTGCTCATCTCCTGGTATAAAATTTAGCAAATATTTCCAGGGTTTTCGCAAGCCACATGAAAGTAGTCAGAACAAGTTAATGGTAGAAACTAAGGATATAATTCAAGTGGTTGAATACTTGCCTTGCATGTGTTAGCTCTGAGAGGTTTATCCTCCATAATGCAAAAACCAAACAAGACCAAAGGAAAGAGACTTAATGGTGATTAACAGCTAAGATAAAGCCATTGGGTACACGTTAAAACAAAATTAAAGCAATGGGTTAGGAAAAGTGAGAAATTGTGAAGTACATAGGATTCCTGATATAGACTACTAAATTTTAACTATCTGTTTAGAGCTTAGAATTTAAATGCTAATTTAGCAAAGGTGCTGGTGGCTCACACCTATAATTCTAGGTACTCAGGAGGCTGAGATCTGAGGACTGAGGGTCAAAAAGCCAGCCCAGGTGGAAAGCTCATGAGACTCTTATCTCCAATAAATACCAGAAAACTGGAAGTGGTGCTGTGTCACAAGTGGTAGACCACTCACCTTGAGCTAAAGAGCTGAGGGTCAGCACCCAGGCCCAGAGTTCAAGCCCCACAACCAACAACAAATAAATAAATACTAATTTACATTTTTTTGCACAATTGTTAAACAAGGTTTATGCTTTCCATATCTGGAAGAAAAATTTGAGAACTGTAGTATATTATGAAAGCCATAATATATATTTGAATGTACTATGTATAATCATAGTTCACATAGCATACACAGTTGTCTGATCTGTCAGTGCAATTAGGAGCATTGTAAAAATTGCACCTAAACAGGCAGTGAGCTCCAGTGTGGGTCTTACTGGCTTCTAGCCATTTTTGAAGATAATAGCCCATTCTAGCCTATTACCTAATAGATTGCCTTTTCCAATAAGTAGATGATCTGTGTTTGTTGCTTATTTGAAATACACTATAGCTATATAACTCAGGTTGGCCTTAAACTTGTGATCCTTCTGCCTCAAGCCTCTTGAGTACTAGGACTGTATTATAGACGTGTGACACTATGTCTGGCTCAAATAAGTGGATAGTCTCTCCTAGAGATTATTTAAACAAGCAAACAATCAATAAGGGAGTTCATTCAAGTATGTAAGTAATTAAGTAATCTCTTTACTAACCAAGAAACTTTTAACATATTTTAGGAAAAAATATCAGTGCCATTTATGAGTTTTGCAGAAGAAAGGGAAGTTGTATGTGGTAGGAAAAAGTGCATTTTTATTCTTTGAGATGGTTGGTTCTATCTTGCCCTTCCATCCACAATTGAACTACCTTTTATTTTGACTTGGTTTTTTTTTTTTGTTTTTTTTTAGATCAACACCCAGAAATTGTTGTCCTTAAAATCAAGGCTTTAAAAACTTACCCCATATAATTTACTAAACCCACATCGATCCTTGGCCGCATGCCAGTCCGTTGCCTTAGGAAAAGCATCACACCGTGTGCCTGCGGTAGCGGATACTGTTTTAAGTCATCTCCATACCTGTCTGCCCTCACCCAGCAGGGAAAGGTGGATTCATTTTCCCTCTCTGTAGTACTTACCTCAGTGTGCGTGACCTGTCTGCCCAGTGTGTCCCTGACCCCTGTGCCGGGGTGTGTGCTTCACATCCCTACATTCTTTTCTTGTTGCATCGCCTTTAAAGGTAATTGCCTGAATTTCCCAAAGTACTAGCTACTCCTCCATTTTATCCTCTATTTCATGCAATGCCGAGCCTGTTGGCTTCCATTTGAGAGACTATCCTAGCACCTCGGTTTTTAAGTGGTCTAAGAGCCTCAACAGCCCCTGTTCAGCCCCACCTTTTATAGAGGAGATACAGAAAGGCATGGTGTGAAAGTGAGTCTAGCGCATCACCTCTTCCCAGCCCAGTCCAGTGATTTCCCCCCTTCCCCCCACCCA